ATGCAGCTGCTTATGATGAGACATACTCTACTGCTGCTGCTGTTACAGTTAACTATTCTTACATATACGTCCTTAAAAGGATCACCACGTTTATTGTTGTTTACGTGTGATTATACGGGGTCATAGTTTATCTTCCTGTTAATAATAAAACTGTAACTATACAGTTAAAGAAAAATGTGTCCTGGGGGTGGGTGAAATGGCTGTTTTTACACACACACAAAAATAGTTTCATTTTATTTCATACACCAGGTATAAATTAGGCATTAGATATTGTCTTCATTGTATCTGCTCGGCTGAGTAGAATACAGCTTTCAGTTTTGGGGGCTGTGGGTGTCTCACTTAACCTCGGCTCCATATTTACAAAAGCCTGTAGAAATATGTTTTTGCTACTGTGCTGAAAGGTCAATGAAAGAGTTGGCTTGAAAGTATTTGTAGATGTTTTTTGGACATGCGCAGATGGGGGATGCCATATTGGAACAGGAGGGGGGGCAGCAGCAGCTGAAAGACGTCGCTTGCGTAGCTCGCGGGAACGAGAGAGAGAGAGAGAGAGAGAAAAGGCAGAGGGGGGTCACGAGAAGGAGAGGCAACAAAAAAAAACTTGGACAGGTAAGACAGGTGACGGCTCCGGCGGTCCTGAGGGGGGACGGGGGGGGGAGGTTTTATCGGCGAAATAAACACAGGCAGAGTTATTTTTTTCCTCCTCCTCCGCTTTGAAACAGCGAAGTGCTCCAGAGACGGTTTCTGTAGAAACGAGATAATATAGTCGCGAGCTTTCGTTCACGAGCCCAAGTTGCTCAAAGTGTCTCGCACGCGCTGTAATTAACAGCTTTCACCGGCGGAGAGGACGTTGTCTCGTGGCACTCTCGGTAATATCGTTTATTGCCTTGTTATTTTTTTTTTTTTATTTATTTTGCCTGTTAGCATGTGTTCTGCCATTTACTGCTTTGAAAACAACACAATTTATAACAATTCGTGGGGAAAATAGGAGTGAGTGGCGGCTCGTGTGTTATTTGATGTGTTTCTTTAATGCTGTTTTTATATGGCCGCGACGCAATTTTGTTTGGCGTGAGCACGAAGTTGATTTTAAAGATTAACGCCAGAAATGACTTATTGCCGTCATTCTCATATAGATGAGTCATGTGGGATTTTTTCCCGTCATCTTTAGATGCGTAAAAGCCTTCGGAAAATACCGGACACTGCCAAAATGTCAAACCACTTTCAACATGGCGGGTTATGGTGATCGTAGGGGGAAAACTGCGCCTTAAAATCTTTGAACGAGGAAAAAATAAAACGACGGCAGATAAAGCGTCCGGTTCGGTTTCTTTTGGTGGACATGGACGAGGTTTAATCAATTAAATTCAAAGTGTGCATTTGGCAACTCCGTGGGAGTTTTTTTCCGCTGCAGTTTTGAGTGTGCAAAGTACATGACCGGAGTGCCAGCCAGCCTGCTGGTCGGCTACACCCCTCACAGCCTCATCTTCCTTATGTGCACTTAACGTTTCCTCTTTCACTTTTATCAAAAATGCTGTGGCTCATTCGATGCTTCTAGATCGCCGTGTGTCAGATTAATACTGTTTTCCCTATAAAACCAACAGGGTGATTTTGATCCCCCCTGCAATCTTAGATTAATATGTTGACGTTGGCACAGTCGGGCGAGAAAAAATTCTTTCGCTGTGTTGTTTTCTCTGCGGGGATTTCTTTTTTTTTTTTCTGAGTGATTAAGCAGATAATTGGGTAAAACCACATGCGTATTTATTTAATTATTTCTCTTTTTCTTTGCGAGGTGCTTCGCAAAAATCAATTTCTTTCTTTTTTAGTGGCTTTACAATATTCCAGAGGATTCCACCTCCTGATTAAATTCGTCACCATAATGAGCAGAAACAATAAAGACTGCGTAACGGAGCCCCAGATAGAGGTTCGGCATGAATAAATCATGCTTTTAGACTTCTTGTGGCTCCAAAGATTTTTTCCACGACGCTGCGAGTGGGAATGCGTGAGCGCAGGCGTGCGGATAAAGGGAAAACGCCTAAAATGAGCACTTTTAAAGGAGAAAATGCGAAGATGGTCATAATGTTAAACATACATAATCCATTTTCTCCACGGGAAAGACCAATACGAGACCAGCTGATTATCATTTTGGGTGGTTTGGCTTTTTATTTATTCATTTATTTTAAAAGTGTCATCCAACAGCCATTTATCACGCGGCTGTTTTTTTTGATCAGGCATTGTATGCTAATCCACTGGTGAGCGTTTCAGGAGAAGAGGCAATCACATATTCTGCACAGATAAGAGAAGCAAAGATAGAAAGAGTCCAGTTCTTTCTGTTCTTCTTTCTTTCTTTCTTTCTTTCTTTCTTTCTTTCTTTCTTTCTTTCTTTCTTTCTGCTGGCATCACACTTACTCTCCCCCCTTATTTGAATAAGGGGAGGAGGTAGGCAAATATCAGCTTCTCCTCCTGCTTTCCAAAAGCCTTGGATTTGCAGGCTGTCCATGTTATGCAAGTGTGTTTTGTGGAAGTTGTAAGAACGTTCTGGGATGTGGGAGTTTCACCCCTTGTTTCCTCTCTCTTTTATTTATTTATTTATTTGTGGTCCTGAGGGGCAGATGCTTGTTTGCCCGACGTCATTTCATGCTTATGTTTTCACTGAGGGATCACAGGCAGTTCTAATTGGGGAATAAAGCACATTGGGTGCGTTGTGTGCACATCTATGTTAAAAACAGCAGGAATTAAGAGTTAGAAACAGAGGACAAATTGTTATATGATGACATCCTGTTGCCAAGAGGAAACAACTCTTGGATAGCTCTAAAAGAAGAGAACCTAATACGGAGTAATGCAATAAAACCCAAGCCCATGCAGTGGTAGTTAATCTCCTAAATCCCCTATTAAATCTTTGGCATGGATGGGTTTAGAGAAAGGCAAGAAGACAGCACGTGGATGCCCGAGCGCCCCATCAGGGGCTAATCAATTTAAAAAAAACCTCTTCTCAATCCGAGACAATTGGGGCACAAATGTCCTGCGTCTGAGATTAAACACTCTCAGAGCAGTTTAATCCCCTGGTGACCAATCTGGGCTGTTTCCTCCAGGAGGCTGCAGGTCAGTAGGCTTCATCAAGTACAAACGCGAAACTCCCAGAAAAAAACTCCTTCAAAAATTTGGCTTGTTTTTTGGATGAACGCTGAGGGGAACTGTTAACACTGAGTCAGAACAAACAAACGTCCCTCAGGGTTTGGAAAACTTGTTTATCCAGTGAGGGATCAATTTAAGGAAAAGCTCAGCTTGCGCTGGTATGGAGTAGTCAGTGTAGAAAACATTGTTGTTTAAGCCGACTTCCAGTGGTTCATTGCGATATTTAATTTTATGTAGGAGGATAGGGGGAGTTTAGTTCTCCTGTTTCCAAACTTTACACGCATAGAAATTAATTTTAAAGCCTGTGTCTTGTGAAAACTCATTGTAAAGCACCTTTAGGCACATAGATGTGAGCTTTCTTTCCTCAAGACCCCAAAGTACTTCATTAATTTGATAAAATGAGCATATGTGACCTTTTATTCCAGAGACTATTCAAGGAGTTTACAAGTATAATAAATATGTGCAGTGACTTCTAGGGAAATGAGCAATGCTAGCCAAAAGTATTTGAACAATGACACATTTCCTGTTTTTTTTGTGGGTTTTTTTGTTTGTTTGTTTTTACTTCCAGCATACTGGAAATAAAACCTTCAGCTTAAATGTTTCGAGGGTGTTCTCATCATGTATTGAGCTAATTAGTGTGGGGAATGGTTGGTGCGTTTAAAAAAAAACCCAAAAAAACAACATTCTGCCTCCAGTTGCTGGGAAGTGCAGGTGGACAATGATAGGGCTGCAGTCGCTGCACTTTTCATCTCGTGTGGTTGTTAAAGCCCTCAAATTAAAGCTCAAAGTCACTTTAACCACAGGGCTTACTCTCTTTCTTTCAGTTCAGAGAAAACGGGCTACAGTGTAGCACCAAAACAGCTCAGAAAGGTGCATTGTTCCTCGCCCTATTGAGGGCTGTGCATACATGGTGCAATTTTTCAAAGGTTTGAGGCAACCTTGTGCTACAGTGACTCAGATGGATGTAGGATTTGTTGTGCTTCATTTCTGTTAAAACAAATTAGATGGAGTTGAAGCTGAGAGTATTGAGAACAAGTTCAATAACACCAGTGTTACTGACTCATCGTTTCATGGCTGTAACTTCTCTTCCTCTCATTTTTCGGTGGAAGTAAAGACTGGAGAGGAAAAAAAAACATTTCACATATGTGTTTCTTATGATGGGTGAACAGGCGAAGAAGTGTGTTTGAAATTCTGGATTAGGCAGAACTAAAACTGGTAAAAATCTGATATTTTAAAGTTCAAACAGGAGGTTATGACTTTGGGAGTCAATTGTCATGCATTGAAAATTCACATCAGCTCAAAAATCTTAGAGCTATCCAATGTACGATGATATAAAATCGACAAAAGCTGCAAATTGTGGATTGTTGTTTCTGTTTTTAAAATAACAAACCATAAAAAGTAGTTAAAAGATGTCAATCAGGCTCTAGATTGCTTTGCTGAGGTGTTGAAATAAGCAGATGTAGAGTGAATGTGAAACTGCAAGTTTTTAAAGAGAATTTTAAGGAAAAGAAACGAGCTGCTCATCCTCCTCCTACTGTTTGATAGCAGTGTTTGAGCACTCTGATGAGTTTAATGAGTGCTGTGGAAGGCTGCTGACGACAGTGATGTATCAGTGCTGAAGATTGTAGTGTACTTAGGCAGAGAGTGGGGGATAAGGGCAGCAAACAGCAGCGTCATGTGAGCCAAATTAGCTCAGCGTGTTGTTTACGCAATGGATGCACGCCGGAGCCACTGTGGGACGCAAGGGGGGGTGTGTTCTGTGGTGGGGGATGGCGCGCACACACACACACACACAGTTAGTTGTTGAGGCTGTCACAGCCTTTGTGCTGCAGCCTCACAGTTCTACATACACTCGCAGCTCCAACAGGCGTGCGAGGACGAGGAGAAGTGTTTTCCTTTCCTGTGGATTTTAAGGCTCTTTCTTTTGTTCTCTTTTTTGGAAGCAGGACTTCAGTGTGTTTTCATCAGAGGATTGCTGGATGCGCATCACAGTTTTGTTTTATTTCTTTTTTTTTTCCCCATGTGGGTGCACATCAGGTTGGGTACTTAATCACGGAGTATTTTTTGCTCTTTTGGATATTGATTTTCAAAGTTGAGAGCAACAACCCCATGAGCTTGGAGTTGTTTTCTTCTTGATTGAGGATCGCTGTGTGACAGCAACATGCCTCAGCTCTAATTGCCAGGTTGATGAAAATGGGTGTAAGTCGGTGAGTGATTCATTGGTGATGTGACTGCATGACCAAGAACAACCACCAGGCAAGTGACAAGCATAGCCTGTTGTTGTGAATATAATGAACTGATGATTGTTTTGATTGTTTTTCTTTGTTTTATTCATGGAATAATGCCAGCGTTGGATAGACTTTTGGTTTTTATTCCTTTAGGATTTACTTTATTGCTTAAAATTCCTTTTACTGCACAAGTCTCATGGTTTCTACGTGCTGTCTTGGCATTTTTAAGTGTATTTATACAGCTTTAATGATGCACTGCAAGGAGTGATCATCAGTGAATTGTATTTTTTAGGTTGGAGGATTTGCTTGTTTTCTCCGCTTTGTATTAGAGGGTAAGACATCCTTTATTGATTCCTGTAGGAAATAAGTCTCTGCAGTTCACCTATCTTAGTTATGATCGGCAGTAGGCAGCAGCTGTGCAGCAGCTCCGGATGTGTACAGGTTCCTTGGTTAAAGCCACATTAATGGGAAAATTAACTTGTCATGTTTTTGATGCTGTGAAGATCATTGCAGACATGAGAGAACTGCTCAGAGAAGGGACCTGCTGTGAGGGTTGTGGACTAATGAGACATTTAAGGAGTTGAGGGAGGACTCAGTGAAAATGTTCACTATATTTTTGCATGATTTAGTAATAATTATAACCTAGACCAAGGACGTCAAACTCATTTTGCATTGCAGGTCATATACAGCCTTATGTTACATTAAAACTTCCATTTCTGTCTATGTGTAAAGAAATGTAACTACACATGTAGTCAATGTGATATCTAAATATAAGATAAAAGGTGCAATTTAAGGAGTTTGTCTCAGTTTTTGCACATGATAAAGGGCCGCTGTAGTAAATGAAAGAAATCTGTCAGTATGACTCTTTGTGCTTAAATTGTAAGAAGCAAATGTGTAAAATTATAGAAATGTATAAATTAATTACTTTGTATTGGGAATTTTATGACAGAGGTCTTTATCTATAGGAAAAGCTGTAAATATTGTGAAAATACAATTAAAAGTCAAAAATTTATGTTGTCCTTCACATTTTCCAAAGCTATTCAGTTGGCCGGTTTGGAGTCTTCACCAGGGTGATTCTGGTCCCCGGGCCTTATGTTTGACACGCCTGGCCTAAACAGTTAATCAGTCAATGTGCAAATGGTGAAATAGTTGAACTGATTAGCTAAATACAGAGAAACAGAATTAAAAAGAAAAACAATACCACATAAAACGGGTTGGGAAAGGTAAAAACAAACAACCCAGTCACATTTACAGTTGAGTTTTGTAGTTTTTTGAGGAGGGGAAGAAACTAACCTTTGATCCGGAGGGTGAAGCTGGTTTGCTAATCAACACCTGGAAGCATGTTTTACCTGTTAGGATTTGCATTAGGTTGAAGGTTATTAGCAGGATTACAAACCAAAAAGACAAAAGAAGTAGAGTAAGTTGCAGGTATTTCTGTATAATAACAGAAAGCCACAAGAAAAAGGTTAAAACTTAATATCAGGACATGGTTACCTGTTTTCTTTTTTATTATTTTTTTATTACAGTTCTTTCCAACAATATTCAGTTAACACATTAGCTTAGCTAATGATATAAAGGATCAAAAGAAACGTGTTTATGGTTGTTAGCGTTACACAGTTACGCTTCCTTCAGTATGTGCCAGAAATACATATTTACGGTCAGACAGTATTTCCTCTTTAGTCTTCCATATTTAGTTACAGTGACATGATTCTGCTCTTCTGTATTATTCTCTTGCCTCAGGTGCCTGGATGCATATTTTCTGGTCACACTTATTTGCAGACTTGTTTGCTTAGTCATGTTATTCCAGTTTTTCTACTTTGTTTGACTCTGACTGGTTATCTGATGCAGTTTTGCTGTGGTATGAAAATGAACACAGCATGCGAGATATTGGAAAAGCACACAGGCAGAGGAGGGAGAGGATGATTTTAATGATGCAGAAAACTGCTGTGCTTTTTACTGTTTTGAAAATATCAGCTGACTTGTGTTAAGTTTCTGATGGTGGCATTCTTTTCTTTTTAGCACATTAAGACAAACTGGCTGTTGCTGGTTGTGGTAACCACCCACTTCTTCTTTTGTTTATTCTCAAGAAAATGGAAATACAGTGTGCACAATTTCCAAGGAAATTCTCATCAAATACTGGCTGTTTATGTGTGCAAACCTCAAGGTTTTGTGAACTGTGTCGATTCGTTCGTGTTATTGTAAGCGAAGAGCAGTAAAATCATCTGTTTCCTGGAAGGATCTTGGACTATTCTGGACAGAGGGCAGATTGAACATTATCTGATTAAATTAGAGCTTTGATTGAATTTATCTTTTCTGGTGCAGGGCTGTCAAGGAAGGCGAGAGATGCTGTGAAGAAGAATTGAAAGATCTCAGGTTTAAAGGTTAATGCTCAACAGGAAGTCAAACGGGCAGCATGCAGTCTCACACTCAGGAGCAGCCACTGGCCCTCACTACAGTGAAGCCACACTATCCCACCAATGGGAAAGAAGAAGAGGTGAACACAGGTAAGACCCTGCACTGCTTTTTTTTAACCATAATGTGGCCAGGGTGGTTTCATGTTGCAGCCCTCATCAGATCAACAGATTGGTGCGGTTGACACAGATGAAAATGCGTCTGAGGAATCTCACTAACAAGATGGGAAACAGAGAATGCCACTTGTGTCACAAAGACATGCTCTAATTCTCTCTGTAGATTTCTCCTTTAGGTCAGCAGTAAGGGTATGTCCCTGGCTGTTTATTGCTTGAACTGAATTCTCCTGTCCTCATGGCTTAGTCACGAGAAGCATGTATTTTTTCCTGTGTATTCAAAGATGGCTGTTATGTAACACCTATGCCCATACCGTTACGTGGAAGCCCACTTTACAGGCTGTTTTGTCATTGCACATGTCAGGCCAGTAACGTATCCTGAACATGTCAGGATACGTTACTGGCCTGTATCCGAGGCACATTCTGGACTTGCAGTTGTTGTGCTACTTTCTCTTTCTAAAGAAAACATAAAATGTGAGCTAAATGCCAGTTTGATGTGTTTGCAATCCTGAGCGAAGGTGCAAATTTAAGTTTTTATTCATGATGGGACATTTTTAACACGTCTTATACCTGAAACTGAACCAGTGGAGTATAAGTTGTAAAATGACTTTGATTTATCATTTAACTACAGGGAGTGCAAAATTATTAGGCAAGTTGTATTTTTGAGGAATAATTTTATTATTGAACAACAACCATGTTCTCAATGAACCCAAAAAACTCATTAATATCAAAGCTGAATGTTTTTGGAAGTAGTTTTTAGTTTGTTTTTAGTTTGAGCTATTTTAGGGGGATATCTGTGTGTGCAGGTGACTATTACTGTGCATAATTATTAGGCAACTTAACAAAAAACAAATATATACCCATTTCAATTATTTATTTTTACCAGTGAAACCAATATAACATCTCCACATTCACAAATACACATTTCTGACATTCAAAAACAAAACAAAAACAAATCAGCGACCAATATATCCACCTTTCTTTGCAAGGACACTCAAAAGCCTGCCATCCATGGATTCTGTCAGTGTTTTGATCTGTTCACCATCAACATTGCGTGCAGCAGCAACCACAGCCTCCCAGACACTGTTCAGAGAGGTGTACTGTTTTCCCTCCTTGTAAATCTCACATTTGATGATGGACCACAGGTTCTCAATGGGGTTCAGATCAGGTGAACAAGGTGGCCATGTCATTAGTTTTTCTTCTTTTATACCCTTTCTTGCCAGCCACGCTGTGGAGTACTTGGACGCGTGTGATGGAGCATTGTCCTGCATGAAAATCATGTTTTTCTTGAAGGATGCAGACTTCTTCCTGTACCACTGCTTGAAGAAGGTGTCTTCCAGAAACTGGCAGTAGGACTGGGAGTTGAGCTTGACTCCATCCTCAACCCGAAAAGGCCCCACAAGCTCATCTTTGATGATACCAGCCCAAACCAGTACTCCACCTCCACCTTGCTGGCGTCTGAGTCGGACTGGAGCTCTCTGCCCTTTACCAATCCAGCCACGGGCCCATCCATCTGGCCCATCAAGACTCACTCTCATTTCATCAGTCCATAAAACCTTAGAAAAACCAGTCTTGAGATATTTCTTGGCCCAGTCTTGACGTTTCAGCTTGTGTGTCTTGTTCAGTGGTGGTCGTCTTTCAGCCTTTCTTACCTTGGCCATGTCTCTGAGTATTGCACACCTTGTGCTTTTGGGCACTCCAGTGATGTTGCAGCTCTGAAATATGGCCAAACTGGTGGCAAGTGGCATCTTGGCAGCTGCACGCTTGACTTTTCTCAGTTCATGGGCAGTTATTTTGCGCCTTGGTTTTTCCACACGCTTCTTGCGACCCTGTTTACTATTTTGAATGAAAGGCTTGATTGTTCGATGATCACGCTTCAGAAGCTTTGCAATTTTGAGACTGCTGCATCCCTCTGCAAGATATCTCACTATTTTTGACTTTTCTGAGCCTGTCAAGTCCTTCTTTTGACCCATTTTGCCAAAGGAAAGGACGTTGCCTAATAATTATGCACACCTGATATAGGGTGTTGATGTCATTAGACCACACCCCTTCTCATTACAGAGATGCACATCACCTAATATGCTTAATTGGTAGTAGGCTTTCGAGCCTATACAGCTTGGAGTAAGACAACATGCATGAAGAGGATGATGTGGACAAAATACTCATTTGCCTAATAATTCTGCACTCCCTGTAAGAGAAGCTGAGGCGACATGCACTGACATATCGTGTAACTTAATGTTGGTGTTAAATTGCTTATTTTTGTGTTTCTTGTGTAAGGTGTCCCAAAAAACACAGTACAAGGCGCACATGTGTTCATATCTGCAGAAAATAGCCTGTTTGTCATCTGAAGTGTTGTCAGTTCCTCTTTTGATTGTATTTTCAGATGCAGGCACTTTTAATAGCATAACCATTTCAGTTAGCAGTTGTGTGTTGCACACAGGAAAGTTATCTCTCTTACCTCACCCATCTTATTGTCAGACTCTTTAAACTGATATCATGAATTTAAATTTGCACTAATAATGTTAAGTTGACACAAATACCCAAGGTACACCTGGACTAACCTCGAGGTGCTCTGTTGGGCCACAGGACACAGCTTGGAAACCACTGCGGTGGATTATGACAGATCTCATATGTACAGAATGAATTTACTATGCAGTGTGAATCTAGAACATATGTGGAGGGAGCTCCATGGCAACATGTTCCAAGCAGTTTATTCTGCATTGTCAGGCAGTCTCTATGTAATATGAAATTGTCTGAATTTTGGCTGATGATCAGAAACAAGAAAAAACATGTACTAATTTAATAATATACAAAGTGAAAAATGACCACTAAGGGGGAGGAAGCCACGTATGTCCATTCATGGGAAAAATGAGAGCAGACACTTCAGTCTATTAGAAACAAACTCCATCAAAATAGCAGCTCGCTACCATCTCCTCTCATTACACAGAACAGGTTCAGTCCCTCAGTTTTCACTCTGAGGAGTCTCCAGAGATTCGGCACACACTGAAACACACACACAGACACACACACACAGCCTTCACATACTTCACTCACACAGAAACATACTGATGGGGAAAAAAACCCTGATGCATGCCTTGACTGCATCAGCTTCAATCACCTTCAGGAGAAACATTAATGACATTATGTAAGACAACCTGCAGCACGCTGTGCACGCAAACTGCCTCCAGATAGTTTACTGTGGATTTTGTGCTTAGGCAAAATTAGCTACATTTACAAGAAATTACAGCTCTGTGTTTAATTGCTACCTGCATTAGGGATGCACTGAGATATGGGCCAACAGCTGCTTAGGCCTGTTAATAAATAAGATGACATTTTCCAGTGGCAGTGCCTGATGTTCTTGTTGTGTGACAACAATTTTAAACTGTCTAAATATTCAAAGGGAGTGTGATGAAGAGCTGAAAGCCTCCGTTCTTATTAGGTATATTTCCTTGTTTCCTGGGCATGAATGAGGCAATAAGTAACAGTAAAAACAAAAATCAGCTGGGAGCTAAATTGTTGTTTTAAGTATCTGTCTTATTGTTGGTTAATGTACAGTTGACTTTTGTTCATTTAGATGCAGATTCTATGGAGGAAGAGGTGGAGTTTAACTGGGAGGAGTACCTGGAGGAGAATGGGGCCGACGCTGCCCCTCACACCAACTTCAAGCATGTGAGTGACTGTCTACAAACTTCACCTGACATGTTAATCCTTTAAATACAGCCTCATAGATAAGTGCCATATGCAGAGATCCTTTAACAACACATGGGAGAGAACCAAAACAGGGCAGTGCTGTGTTCAAGCCTCAACAGAAGATTCAGTGTCTTTGTTTCCTTGTGACGCACGCGTTGTTGGGCGACCTTTGGCATTTCTTTTTCTTTTTTTTAAAATACCATTTTAGGTACCTAATTAGGTACCAAAGAAAACATGACAATAGATGCAAATAAATAACATAATAAGGACCAGCTGTTCATTCACTTTTCCTGAGACTATATTTGAATGTTATCATCATACCCAGTCTTTCCTGTTTTCTTGCCCTGAAGTAGGTGTGGCAAATTAAAGCAGTCATTATAATGATATTAGGACATTATCTAAGTATCACCAGTGTAGCATTTTTCTCCTTTCAACAATGTGTTCATATGTCTTTCTTGATCGTCTTGGACTACCACATTTCTGGCCGAGTGAATTTTTTGAGGACTGTTTTCTGTTGGGCAAATCAAGACAGCATGATTTTTAGTCAAAACAAACAGCACTGTTTGTGTTTGTCATAATGAATACCAGTCAGTGCCACCAGTGCAACAGTGTTGCTTTTTGTTGTGTTTTTGTGATAGTTTTTGGACAAAAGTGGAGCTCTGTATCGCAGGATTAGGATATACAGTATGAGACTTCAGAGCCACACACAATAGCGTCTTAGTAGGATTTAATTCATTGTTGCTTTCGGCCTTTTTGTGGAATTTACAAATTTGTATTTGTCAGATCCTGATGAAGACTTGGAGTCAATTTGGTCTATTATGCTTGCTGAACTGCTGCAAGAATAAATTTATTACATGATTTTATCCTAAACAGAGCACCTTTTTTTTTTACTATCGACCTTGTTTATGCTCTACTTTTGGATAAGCTTTCAGAGCCATGTAGCACTTATAAACGAATAAATAAATAAAAGAGTATTTCCAAACATGGAATTTATATGTATATTGATTATGTATTTGCATGGAGTTTGCTCACAAATCCTGTGCTTTGTGTGGTGTCCAGACATGTCATCTTTTTGAGATGCATGACGTATGGCAGACCAGTCGTTCCTACTTGCAGCAAAACACTCAGATAGACATGTGCAGTCTGTGTGAAATCTTCAGCGTGACATTAACAAGGTTATTCTGTTGTTAAAGTAATATCAGAACATGAAACTTGAAAGTATAAAGCTCAAGCTCAGTGACTCAGGTTTCACTGTGTTATATTTTATGGGGTAAACTCTCAGTTGGTGCAGCAAGTTACTCAGCTAGCCTGCAGACGTTTAAAGAAGACAATAAAACAGTTTCGAGTAGGCACTAAAACATCTGCATGTTAAAAATCAGCACTTTTTGTGCAAAACTCGCACCAGAGGCTGTGTGGCAAAGTGGCAAAATACTGAGCATGCTAGATATGACTGCGCTGCACTATGCCCAGATCATTATCTTTGTGTGAACTAGAACTGGGTTACAGTTTTAGTTCTCTAGAAAGCTGCATTATCAGATATCAAAACAATGTACCACAGCCTAGAGCTTGTTTAAAAGTGAAATCTATATAATCACTACTGATGCTACTCAGACCACAGATTTTTGGAGAGCTAAGAGGTGAAAGAGAAAGGTACTTTTCTTTGTAGTGAGTCTATAGGCCAACTGTGCTCTGCTTTGCTCTGATTTGCTAGGCTGAAGTTGGTTTGGGCTGTCCTGGTCAGGGCCAGCTGAGGGGTAAACCGGGCCTTGAGTCGACCATCACCGACTATGTTGCCTGCTTAACATGTCGAATTCACCTGCTGTCGCTGATGTTTAGTGTCCATCTCACAGCTCTCCTTCCAGCTGAAGTAGCTTAAATATGTTTATTAGAAGGTGGAAATTGTTTCTGTCTGCTCACAGAAACCACAGAAGAAAGACTAGTAGGGAAGTGGTTTGTCTTTGTGGGCCAGCTGAATGTTCAAGCCGCTGAAACCGAAAACTGTGTTTAATGTTATTTAATTTACATTTAAACCGTTTGGCTTGGTGTCTTTTATGGCATTTTAGTATTTAATTCTGTGAGCCACCCCTAAGGAAGTTGCTCAGGGGTCACCAACTAGTTCACCACTTGTCCAGTTTCCTCAAATTTGTTTTAAGGACACACCATACGGAATATATGCCAGGTTTTTAATGTATTCCGCTTTAGGATGCACCTTGGTGGTGGATAATTACTATTTTATTCTTGTCAGACTGTATCATATTTGGCTTTTTGGGATTTAGTTAAAGAAACTGAAACAATTTGTGTTTTTGTGACAGGCTATAGTAACAAAGTGCCTTAAGATATCATTTAAAATAAGTTTCCTGTGTGTAGATGGGTCCACTGGTTCATTCTTAGAGTTAGTTCTTGCTTTTTATGCTTCAATAATTCACAGGTCTGTGCTCAGCGATTTAACAAACAAAAAACGCATTTCTCCAAAAGTGGTCAGGTACAAGGACTGTACTGAATATCTGTGAAAAAGTAGCAAAGGTCCAAATAAAAGTCTGGCTGCTTGAAAGCAAAATATAAAGGTGGGGGTGGCTCAGGATTTTTGCACAGTACTTTATCTCAGTTGTAAGTTAGTGTATGGGCTCAAAATGTGGTCATAAATATTTTGTACTTGTAAATCGGTTTTGTACTTGTAAATCAGGATTTATATGTGTAAAAAAAATTTTGTGTGTGTGTAAAAAAAGATTTGTGTGTGCGTAAAAAAGATTTGTATGTGTAAAAAAAGATTTGTGCGTGGGTAAAAAGGATTTGTGTGTGGACTTAGAAAAAAAACCCTGCAAGTTACAAGTACGAATTTTGACCCTATTTTTCTTCCTTTCATCTGATTGGTCAATGTCATGTCAATCACAAATATAACAATCCAATCAGAGAACAGATGGGTTTGGCTGTCGGAGGGGCACTTTTTTTGAACTGCAGGTCCTTGAAGGGTAGCAGCTAGGTCCCCTAACTTTCAGTAGCTGTTGAAAAGGTAAAGTTGTGGTATATGAGTGGTTAGAAATACCATTATTACTTTAGGATTAGTTTAACACAAAGTCAGGGCTGACCCAGGACCATGGCTGTGAGTCACAGTGCGCAGCATAAAAGTCCTTTCACATCGGACGCAGGATGTGCTGCTAATGCTAACTGCTAACTAAAAGCAAAGGATCCAGAATTTGTTGCGCTGGCTGCTGGGCTCTGTGGGTTTTTGCAGCAGCTCTACCTGTACTAGATGCACCTGCTCCTTGTCTTTTCTATCTCTGACTTTATGTCCTCTACAAGAGTTTCTGGGGTTTTTTTGGTAGTTCTTCAAATGTTCAATAAAAACATCTATGCTAATTCATAACAAAGAAAGCTTTGTAATGAAGACTGTCATTTCCAAAACACTGCCCGCCCCTACCCCGCAGTCCGCAGCGCTGTTGAAAAGGCTGTGGAAGTCCCTATATTAAACACGTAGACCTGTGACACAAATCCCCAAACTCGGACGACCACAGACTGTTTTCCTTTGTGGTGATGAAGGAAAACGCTGGGTTGGCATGAAAAGGGCATTTATTCCTTTCAAGGACCTGCAGTTCAAAAAAAGCGCCCCTCGACAGCCAAACCCATCTGTTCTCTGATTGGATTGTTACATTTGTGATTGACATGACATTGACCAATCAGATGAAAGGAAGAAAAATAGGGTCAAAATTCATACTTGTAACTTGCGGGGTTTTTTTTGTCCACACACAAATCTTTTTTACGCACACACAAATCTTTTTTACACATACAAATCTTTTTTACGCACACACAAATTTCTTTTTACACATACAAATCTTTTTTACACATACAAATCCTGATTTACAAGTACAAAATATTTATGACCACATTTTGAGCCCATATTAGTGCTCTACTGCTGTTGTCTGTATGTACATAGTTTACTTTCTCATCATGCAGTAAGTGGGAACAAAGTCCCCCGGGTCTCCCTCCTCCTGTGTGCAGCACACACGCAGATCCACTGCTCTGCCTGTGCTGCTGCCCAAATTAGAGATTAGTGTTATTGCAGATGGCACTACATGAATAGAGGACAACATTAAATTGTAACAAACCACCCCCACTCTCCACACCCCATATCCTAGTTACAATAGCTGACTCTAACAGCTTTCCTAGTTACTTTAGATCAGCATCCAAAAATGTAGCACTAATAATTTTATCAAGGAGTCTTTGTTTTTCTTCTTAAACAGAGGGTTAGTTTCAGACTTAAATTTCACTACTGATTAATTACAGGGTTAATAATAATCATATAACGAACAAAAAACGCATGTGGTTTTACATAACTATCTATCTATCTATTTAATTATTTAATTATTTAATTAATTTATTAAATTTTTTTTTACTAGCAGTCCTCCAGAAAAGACACCCTATAAGTAATAGTTACTCAGCTTTGCCTCCATTAATACATTACATCACAGGAGAGGGACAGATGGGCGAATAGAGCTGATCCTGGATGCGAAGTCTTTATCCACCTCAGATGACCGTGTGTTTGTCCAGCGGAGCAGCTGTCTGCTCTTATGAGACTCACCGCGCTCAGCTGCCGGGAGGACGGGCTTCAGAGGTGTAAAATATGTGTGTCAGTGTCTCACTTTCTTACGTCACTGAGTGTTGAGTGTAATAAAACCAAGATTAAAATATGTGAGTTTTACAAGTGCGCCTCAATGTTGGACAAACTGTCTGTGGTGATTTGAGGGGACGGGGTTTCTTGGGAGCCTAAATTGCCCTGTTGGTAAGTGGATTGAGTCACTGGGAAACAGACCATGAATTCCCCAGAAAAATGTGATTCAGTAAAGTGCAGCCCTCATTTCTCTCTCTGCCTGGACAAATTGAAACAGTGATTTCTCTTGGGCTTGTGCACACACATCCCTGCACACACACACACACACACACACACACACACACACACACACACACACACACACACACACACAGAGTCAGTGTTTGCTGCTGAGGCTGCCCGTAGCTCTCTTACATAAGCCAGCCAGAGTGATACAGCACGTTTGCATTGTTGTAGCAGGAAGTCACGGGGCCATTGGTATTGTGTTTATTTCTAAGATGTTGGCTTTTCCATTCACTTCTGAGTGTGTCTGTGTGTGTGTGTGTGTGTGTGTGTGTGTGTGTGTGTGTGTGTGTGTGTGTGTGTGTGTGTGTGTGTGTCTGAGTCTGTGTGTGAGACTGTCACCAATGTTTGCTCATATAGGGTTCGTCTGAATGCGGTGGTGTTTTCGCTATATTATTGTTGGGTCTTTACTTTATAATATAACAATAT